TAGCGACACATGACTCCCAAACCGAGTAGTAAAGCCGGCCGCGTGGTGAGCCTCCCGCTCCTTATGGGTAGGCTCAGTAGCAAGAGCAGCAGGACACTGGGGGGCATGTATTTCACCCGACACGTGGGTGCACAGGGAGACGTCATCTTGACGTCAGCTTGACGTCAAGCAACCACGCATCAAAGTAAATCGCCCGTTTATCCGGATCGAGCCGCAGTACAAACTTAGAGTGATCAGGGGGGCAGCTGCAGCGAATGAGAAGGGACAGCCACAGGCGGAGGAGGAAACAGTAAGAGGCATGCATGCAGTTAATGGGCGGGGCAGCGACGCGTCTGCAACATGGTGATAGTATGTCCGCAGCCGTAGCCGGCAGTGGCGAGCAGAAGCAGACGCTGTGGCGGGCAACAGCAGGCGCAACGACGGGCAGCTGCTGCAGACGCGGCAATAGGCGCGGCAGGAGGCAGCAGTCGGCAGGCGCGGCGGCAGGCTGGGGTCGGCAGGTGCGCGGCAGGTGAATGGCAGGTGCGCGGCAGGCGCACGGCAGGTGCGGCGACGGGGCGGCGACAGCGGGAAGGCTGCGACGGCGTGCAAGAAGGGGGGTGGGTGGGTTTGGGAGGCCCTTGAGGGGGCTGCTGGAGGGGGGCCGCTAGAGGGGGCCGCCAAAGAGTTGGGAGGGGGGTGCAGCTAGGGAGGTAGGCGGGGCGAGAGCGAGGTACATGAAGAAATAGAGGCTGTATATCTAACATCCTACCGTATACCCTGTTCAACCCAACCTAGCCTGCAGAGTGCACATGACAAACGTTCAAGTGTACGTTGACAATCAACTCTGAAAAGCAGAATATGGAAAATGACAAGTCCTGCCGAACATTGAAGCACCGTTGACTGACACATGCTGGCGCCGTATCACATCACATTCATCATGAAGCATATCCTCTTGACGGGACACATTGTTAGAGTTGGTTGGAACACACTGGTAGGCAGATGAGAGGAGAGGGGGGCATCATCGTGTCAAATGTTGTAGCCTTAGTGAGGTTTGTCTTAGGGGGTACAGATGTTAGGGTTTGTTATATGTACCCCAACCCACATCAATGAACACACTTTCATTCTTGACATGGTATCAGAGGTGACTTCTACGCTGATCAGGTGGTTGCTTACCACTGAGGGCACTCGTGGTCGTCGTGTCAGCTGTCTTCACTCTGACTGTGGGGGTGAGTTTCGCTCCGGCATTCTGGCTGGATTCTGTCGCGAGCAGGGCATTCGTCAGTCCTGGACGCTTCCAGAGTCCCCACAACAGAATGGGGTTGCTGAGCGCAGCATAGGCTTGGTCATGGAGATCGCCCGCACCTCCTTGACTCACGCCCGTGCCCCCCATTTTCTGTGGCCCTATGCGGTTAGGTACGCCGCTCACCAGCTGAACCTCTGGCCACGTGTCTCTCGGCCAGAGGCTTCACCGACCAGTCTTTGGACCGCGTCCCCTGGTGTTGCGTCGAGGTTTCGTGTCTGGGGTTGCTTGGCTCTTGTCCGCGACACTTCCGCGGACAAACTCTCGCCTCGCGCCGTTCCCTGTGTCTTCCTTGGTTTCCCTGAGGACTCCTCTGACTTCACCTTTTACCACCCTCCCTCTCACCGGTTCTTTGACTCTCGTGACGTCCGTTTCGAGGAGTCCACCCCCTACTACGTCAGGTACCCCAGTCGAGGTCGCCCGGTTCCTCCTCCCCCTCTCTTCCTGACTTCCGCTCCCCCTCCTGCTCCCCCGGTACAGCCTCCCCCCCCTGGTCCCGCCCCGTTAGGTGTGTCCCAGGCTACCCCTCCCCCCTCGGTCGCCCCTCAGGTGCGGCCTCCTTCCCCGCAGTCCTCCTCGCAGCCTGCTGCAGACCCTGTGGGAGCCGGTGCTCGTGGAGAGGGCCCTACTGGTGCTAGCTCTGGGGGTGCTGGAGTTGGAGCTGAGCCCGTGGTTGTAGGAGACTCTTGTCTTCCGGGAGCTGGTGTTGGTCCTGCTGACTTTGGGGGTGCTACGTCTGGGGGTACGGGTGCACCCTCTTCGGGTCCTGGTGAGCCTGGTCGTGTTGCTGTTGGTGGTGCTGACTCTGGGGGTGGTGCGCCAGGTGCTTTGGAGGGCGGTCCCGGGGCTGCCGCAGCCCCCGACACTACTCCTCCCCTCCACCCCTACCCGACCCGGCACCAGGCTCGTGTTCGCCGTGCCCGTGAGGAGCAGCTGGAGTTGGAGAGAGAGGAGAGAGAGTTGCAGCGGCTGGAGGAGCAGCAGCAGCAGCAGGAGCAGCTGCAGCAGCCGCGGCTAGAGCCGCCGCAGCAGCAGGAGGCGCAGGAGTTAGAGCCGCTACAGCAGCAGGAGGAGCAGCAGCAGCCGCCGCGGCAGCAGCAGCAGCAGCCGCCGCCGCCGCCGCAGCAGCAGCAGCAGCAGCCGCCGCCTCCTCCTCCTGTCTCCGGTCTTCGGGCCCTCGGTCTCCCCTCCCGCTCTCCTTCCTCCTCCCCCTCTCCTCCCGTCTCGGGTCCTCCGCTTCCTCCTCCTGACCCCTCTCCAGCTGTTTTCCCTCGTTCTCAGTCTTCGTTGCCCCCTCCTCCTTCTCAGACCTGGGCCTCTCGTCGCTCCCCTCGTGCTCGTCCCTCGTCCCCTGTTCCCTTCCCTGACCTTCGTACTGCCTTACTTCGTTCTAGTCCGCCTCGTCCGTCTCCGTCTGTGCTTCCGTCTCCTCCTGAGTCGGCCCTCACTGCTTCGCTTTCTACTCCTGTCACTGACTACTACCGCACGTACCGTCCTGTTCTCTCTCATGTTCTCGCCTCTCTTGTTACCCACCCTCGTGCCTCTGTGTCCTCTGTCTCTGCTCTTACTGCCGCAGTCACTGAGTTTGCCTCTGCTCGCCGCCTTGAATTCGCCACCAGTCTTGTGGCTGCTCCTCCTTCCAGTCCTCTGGCCGTCGGGGGTGTGTCTGCCCTTGGTTGTGACGCCCTAGAGGACAGGCAGTTTGAGCTAGAGTTCCTGGCAGCCGCTTCCCCTCATCTCTGTGCCATGCTGCTCGCCCCTGAGGGAGACCCCGACGCCCTTGACATACCGACTCCTCGCACTTACGCTGAGGCAGTGTCAGGGCCTTGGGCCTCTCAGTGGAGAGCTGCCATGGACGCAGAGATGGCCTCCTACAGATCCACAGGCACCTACGTTGACGAGGTTCCCCCCCCTGGGGCGAACGTAGTCGATGGCATGTGGATCTACAGGGTGAAGCGGCCACCGGGATCTCCTCCGGTCTTCAAGGCGCGCTACGTGGCTAGAGGTTTCAGTCAGCGCGAGGGAGTTGACTTCTTTCAGACCTTCGCGCCCACCTCGAAGATGACCACTCTTCGGGTGTTACTGCACGTAGCGGCACAGAGAGACTACGAGTTACACTCTCTCGACTTCTCTACTGCGTTTCTTCAGGGTAGCCTACACGAGGAGGTCTGGCTGCGTCGTCCCTCTGCCTTCACTGGCACTTTCCCTCCTGGGACCCTGTGGAGGCTGAGGCGACCTGTCTACGGTCTCCGTCAGGCTCCTCGTGAGTGGCACGACACTCTTCGTTCTACCCTCTCTGACCTTGGGTTCCAGCCGTCTTCTGCCGACCCGTCGCTGTTCGTTCGTCGTGGCTCTACACCGTTCTTTGTTCTGGTCTACGTCGACGACCTGGTTTTCGCCACTGCTGACAGGGTTGCTTTGGCAGACGTGAAGTCCGAACTGCAGAAGAGACACACGTGCACTGACCTTGGTGAGCTGCGCCACTACCTTGGCCTGCAGATCACCAGGGACAGAGCTGCTCGCACCATTACACTCTCACAGTCACACATGGTGCAGCAGGTCCTTCAGCGGTTCAAGCTTCAGCACTCCACAGTACAGCGCACACCTCTTGCTGTTGACCACAGACTCACTGGACCCTTTCCTGACGAGCCGTTTGAGTCCAGTGGTCCCTACGCAGAGCTAGTGGGCTGCCTCATGTACCTGATGACTTGTACTCGCCCGGACCTCGCCTTCCCTCTCAGCGTCCTTGCTCGCTTTGTTGCGCCAGAGAGGCACCGTCCTGTTCACTAGACGGCAGCTGTGAGGGTGGCGAAGTACCTAGCGACGACATCAGGCGTGGGGCTAGTTCTTGGAGGGCAGCAGCCTGTCGTACTTACTGGTCACTGTGACTCTTCTTACGCTGACGACGCTGAGACTCACAGGTCTACTCAGGGGTACTGTTTCAGCTTGGGTTCTGGAGCTGTTTCGTGGCGGTCCACGCGCTCCTCTTCGGTCTCGACCTCTACAGCTGAGGCTGAGATCTACGCTGGTGCCATGGCGGCACAGGAGCTGCGTTGGTTGACGTTTTTGCTCGCTGACCTTGGTGAGCGGCCGAGCTCTGCACCGACCTTGTTCACTGACAACAAGGCGTCGATTCTCCTCTGTCGTGAGCCACGACTGGAGAGCAGAGTGAAGCACATTCACGTCAGGTACTTCCTTCTGCGAGAGTTGCAGAGGCGTGGACAGGCTCGCTTCGAGTTCGAGCTTGTTGACACAGGTTCTAGTCGTGTATAGGCTTGAGTTTACTGTTTGCTTTGCTTGTACTCTTGATATACACACTTGTGAACTCTTGGACTGGTCTTGTGGCCACTGTTGCTTGTGCTCAGAATGTGTGGTGACGTTGTGATCCACCCTGAGCTTTGTATCTTTGTGACTGGTCTTGTGACCGTACACTTTTGGTTTTGCTAGACACCCCTCACTTAGGCTATGGGGGTGTGTCAAATGTTGTAGCCTTAGTGAGGTTTGTCTTAGGGGGTACAGATGTTAGGGTTTGTTATATGTACCCCAACCCACATCAATGAACACACTTTCATTCTTGACACATCGGCACCCTGAAATAACATACACGAAACACAAATGACTCGTCTCGCACAAACTGCTTATCATTTGCACATTCTAACATGATAACCACGAGTCACGACAAAGCATCGCCACCAAAACAAACGCAGCACCACCTCCTTTATTGCGTGCCATCCACAGCAGCGGCACCATCAGTGGTTGCAGGTGGAGGCACATGTTGAGCCTGCCTGTTCCATGAGAGGTACGACGTATCCCCCAGTGGCCTGCACACTCCCACATCAGCTGCCTTTCATAAAAACCACTGTGCAACAATATACAGAAACGAGAGACAGAAAAAAAACAAAAACAAAAGCAAAGCGAAGTGAAGTCTTAGGAGGGCTTGTGAAGTCTCTAGTACATACCTGGGATTTGTGAAGAGGAGGACAAAGAAGAGGAGGCCGAGGAGGAAGCAGAGCCCGCCCACGGTGAGGTAGGCGAGGCCCAGGAAGCCATTGGCGCCGCCCAGCCAGCTGGCGGTGGAGAGGACGAGGGCCTTCTGGCCGCCATACTGGTAGGAGTTGTAGTTGTTCTGCAGCACCACCGCCAGCGTACTGCCCGCCTCCAGCGGCGTGTTGATGCGCCCATACAGCTTGCGGAACGTGGGCAGCGCTGCCGTGCGCATCCACACCATCAGATTCTCCGACTGGTTCAGCTGCACTCCACACAAGGGGAGGAAGGGGACACAGAAGTGGGCATGAGGTCATAGCCCTGTGAGGACGTGCACTCTCTCCACATGCAAGCCCATGGCACCACTGCCATGGATGCTACCAAGCATGTGTAACCCACACCCATGCATTCCCGTGCACCATGAACGTGTGCCGCCCCAAGCAAGCTTACGAGTGTGTTGAGCTGTGCCCCGCCGCGCAGGTTGTCAACGGTGTTGAAGTTCTCGGGCGGCACGCCAGCGAACTTGCCGCTCTGGTCGCTGGGCCACGCGATGTTGCTGCTGTCGATGGCCAGCTGCTGCCCGCTGCTGGCGTCCGTGATGGCGTACGAGTCGTTGAACAGCGACCACGCCACCAGCCCGCACGGCCGGATGGGCGAGGACGTGTTGTCCCACAGGTACGCCTCTGGCTGGCACACGTCAAAGTCGCTGCCACTGATGTTGGTGCCCCGCAGCTGGCTGTCACTGCGGCTCTTCACGTACCTGCTCCGCCCCATCCAACGGCACAGCCCCATGCAACAGCACCGCCCCATGCAACAGCACCGCCCCATGCAACAGCACCGCCCCATGCAACAGCACCGCCCCATGCAACAGCACCGCCCCATGCAACAGCACCGCCCCATGCAACAGCACCGCCCCATGCAACAGCAACAGCACCATGCAACAGCACCATGCAACAGCACCGCCCCATGCAACAGCAACAGCACCATGCAACAGCACCATGCAACAGCACCGCCCCATGCAACAGCACCGCCCCATGCAACAGCAACAGCACCATGCAACAGCACCGCCCCATGCAACAGCACCGCCCCATGCAACAGCAACAGCACCATGCAACAGCACCGCCCCATGCAACAGCACCGCCCCATGCAACAGCACCGCCCCATGCAACAGCAACAGCACCATGCAACAGCACCGCCCCATGCAACAGCACCGGCCAGCGGCCAAGGGGGAAGCAGGGGAGTAGAAAGGCCTCAATGCGTATGTGGAAGGGAAAAGTGGCACGTAGCGGGGACAACTACTTGTCATAAATTGGTCTCAGCTAGCTTGGAGAGCAGCTTGACTGCTGCGCTACCAGGGGGTTACTTGTTGAGAACAGGGATGGAATGAGGGCAGGCGGGAGGGCGCGTACCGGCGGTGGTTCTGGTAGAAGTTGGTGAGCTGGTAGTACACGAACACTGGCGGCTGCATGCGCTTCGGCACCTGCACGGGCGGGCGAACACGCGCGTGACAGGCGCATCAAGGAGAACGAGCATGACCATGAGATTTCAATGGACGAGGTAAATCGATTGAAATAGTGGACGCATTGAACGAGATGAGAGAATGTGAGACAGGAGCTTGACTAAGGCAAGCGGGTGAGGGAGAGAGGGGACGGCGACTGACGGTGATCCGGACGTCGCACTTCTTGGCGATGGACGCGTCCTGAATGTACGCCACGCCGTCCTTGCCGGCCGGCACGCAGCTGTCGTCGTAGCGCTGCACCACCTCCACCACCTGCGGGACGGCACGCGCGCGCACGCACACACACATGTCATACAGGGAGCGCACAGGCAGTAAGTAAGCTGGCCTGGCGCGCATGCGGGCGGCAAGGCGTACACGAGCGGATACAACGCGACAAGATTCATCCCGTGCGCTGACAGGTTGGTAGGCGCCACGAGCGACCTACGCTGTTAGACGCCATGAGAGCGACGACTCCGATGGGGATGAAGGCGGCGCCGACAAGAAAGAGCGTCGCGATCACCTGCCACACGAAGAGACAAGCGGGTGACGCGGGGAGGGAAAGCGGCAGGGGAGCGAGGTTTGAGCCAGATGGACAAGAGGTGTGATGTGAGTGATGTGGGGAGCAGAGAGCGTAGCGGGAGGGAGACTTGGGAGGTGGAGAGAGGAGGGGCGCACGGCGATGGCGTCGGATGGTGGTTCAAAGAGACATATGGGCGACTCAAACATCACATGATTCGCGCCAAGAGGCAGTGGCAGACCACCGACGCGCAAAAGCAACATCTATATCAATGACTGATTGTGATCCTCTTGCAGGTGGGAATCACGACGCGTGCGTGGCACTGACCCATGCTGGCGTCAGCAGCGGTTTGCACGCCGGCAGCTCCTGCTGCGTGAAACGCGAGTCTGGACGCATGAATGGGAACAGGGATCAGGAATATAATGCAGTGTATTAGCAACTGCACGAGAATAACAACTGTAAAAAAGAAAGGTGTGAAAAACAAAGACGCATGAATACTAGGTGAATAGCCGGAGTGATAAATCTACGAATTCGGAAAGAGTTGGTGAGTGACCCCGCAGCCGAGATGGGGCAATGAACTCGCGTTGTGGAGTGGAGCTCACACTTAGGCTTCTTGGACTCCTTCTTAGGGTTCCCAGCTGCCGCTGTCATCGCGGTACTTTGCTGGTTGAGATCGAGAATCGGCTAGGGTAGTCGCGGCTTCTGATACTAAGCAAAGTCGCAGGTAATTGAAGAATTCAATCGGCGCTATGTTAGGTTTGAAAGGTGAAACGATCAAGTTAGGATGATGTGAGCCTGCCTAGAAACCTTCCGCTGAATGAGCCGTGAGTCAGACTTGAAGTTTGTGGCTTTGTTCCTCTCCGTCCGTCCCACCGTCAGTGGCAAGCTACATCACGGCGGTCAACGGTGAACACCGTCGGTTGGGCAATGGGCACAGAATGATGCGACTGGGAGGGATGGGGGAGAGATGGGGGAAGAAGAGATGGTGGGGGGGGGGGGGAAGGGGAAGAGGTGGGAGCAGCATGCGGCCTGATTCGTGAATTGCGAGAAGGTCTGGTTCCTTCCCGCTGCCTCCGGTGCTGTTGTTTGAGCGTGACGCAAGGTGCTGTCAGGCCACAATTATTGTTCCCCGCCATGTTAATATCAAGGATATTTGCTTCGTTATCGTTATTGTTCTCCACCGCATCACTCACCCCAAAGCCATTTTGTCAACGAGCAAATACACAAATCCAAAGCAACGGGATTCCCGCGACTTTCTCGATCTTTCTCCCACCGCCTCGCCTTTGGGATGGGTTGGACAGCCAAGCATGCTTCCGTCAGCAGTTTTCTCAACCCAAGATGCCACAGCAAAACTGGACAGAGTACATTGGTAGCATTGTTATGTCGTTCTGCTGACACTGCATCGATGGCCGTAATCCAAGATCATTGTTATCGTAGACCGTATTAGAGTACTGATCAGTACCTGCATCTATCATCATCGTGATCGCAGCGTTTAGTCAATAGTCATGTCGTCAATTTACAAGGCATTCGACCGTACGGTTCGGGACCTGTACGTTTCCTTGTTTGTGCTACTTCGTGCCATTGTCTCGAAGCGGAACCTTCACGCCGTTCCCTAGTGTTTTTTCGCTGTTGAACAACCTTCTTGCTTTCCTCTGATCTGCTTCGATCGTGCTAATCTGTCACCATTCGTCTCCGTGGTTCGCCGGTGCAGAAAGCGTGAGGTCAACAAAAATGTGCTCAAGGTGCCTGATGCTGAGCGCAAGGTGAGATGTCTTTTTCTTAGTCCCCTCATTCGTGCTTGCGTTTTCGGGACTGCCTAGTTGTATCGAGTTGCTTTTGCTGCGAGTGCCCACCTTCAAACATATGAATTTCACCACCGACTATCCTCTGTGCATCAGCCTCTGTGATTCGGAGCTGCCGTTACGGAACGAATTCGTAGTTGCACTGACACGGTGAATTTCTTTCATGATTTTGGATGCTCGTGGGTGTGCGTGTTGCATGTGCGTGCTCGTTTGCGTGCACATGTGTGGCGTGCACGTGCTTGTGCGCGTGTCCGACTGTTCGTGCGCGTGTGCCGCGCGTGTGCGTGTGCGTGTGTCGGCCTCTCAGGCGCTGGACGCGACGACCAACGAGCCATGGGGGCCTCATGGCCAGCTGCTCGTGGACCTCGCGCGGGCGTCGCACAACCCGTACGGCGCGCTCCCTTCGCAGCGCCACGAATCTTGCTTTCAACTCTTTTTCTCTGGCCAGTGCAGCTTATTCTATGCCGTTTAGAATCCCCCTCCGTAACCACGTGCACGCTGATTGGTCCCGTGGAAGTATCCCACTGGAGTGCACTTCGTTGTCTCACATCAGTTCCCCTGCGCGTTCACTCATCTCTCATGCCTGTGCGCGGTGCCGCTGTGCGCGGTGCAGGATCGAGTATTCCATGGTCATGAACGTGCTGTGGAAACGATGCCAGGATGTCGGCAAGGACTGGCGCCACGTGTACAAGGTGAGTCCACGTGTGTAAGATGGTTGCGCATGATAAGTGGAGTCGTGGATTTCTGCTTGTGCTCAAAGCACAAAAAACTGTGTAACCTTCTTTCGTTATGGGTTTGGTACGGGATCGCTTTTGGTTCACTGGCATTCGCTGGCATTAATGTGTGTGCTCCGTTCGCCCTCTTGTATGTCGTGTCCCTGTCCCATCTTCTCGTTGGTGCTGGGCCACGTGGTGCCACGGTACGGTGCACGGGGGGCAGGCGCTGGTGGTGATGGACTACCTGGTGGCGCATGGCACCGAGCGCGTCGTCAGAGACCTCCGCGACCGCTCCGCCTTCATTCAGGTGCATTCTCCCCTTATGCTCGAGTCCGTTGTTTCCTGCTCTTTCTTCCATTGTGAATGCTTAGATGTTTCAAGGGTAGATGTCATTTCTCCTTAGATATGAAAATAGCAGGCCTTATTTTTGTCATTGTGTCCTCCATCTCCCTGTGGCCTGCATTGCGTACGCTCAGAGTCTGGCCGATTTCCAGTACATGGACAGCGCGGGCAAGGACCAGGGGCTCAACGTGCGCACCAAGGCGCAGTCGCTGCTCGCCCTGCTGCGCGACTCAGCGCGCATTGCTGAGCTCAGGGACCGTGCTGCTGCCACTCGCAACAGGTGCGTGCCGCCGCCACCCGCAACAGGTACGTGCTGCTGCCACCCTGCAGTCACACAGAGATGCTTGTCTTGGCATGCTACATGCTCCAAATGACCTGCTTCGCACTCCTCGCCCCTCTCAACCACTCATGACCGTTCTCACCAGGTTCAAGGGCGCGTCAGCAGCGGGCTCGGGGCGGGCGTCGAACCCGTATGGCGACTACGAGCCTGAGAGGCAGTCCAAGGACTCGCACCCCACGGCCAGCTACGGCAGCAACAGCTACGCCGGCGACAGCAAGAGTGTGTACAGCACGGGGTCGGCGGAGAGGGAGAGGGTGCACTCCACTGACAGCGCACACAGTGGCGAGGGCGAGAGGCCGGGCGGGTACACAGGCAAGGAGAGGTACGGCGCGGAGGAGGAGGTGGAGCACAGCAGCACGGGGGGCGGTGCGGCGAGGGCGAGCGGGCACGAGGGAGGGGGTGCGGCGGGCAGTAGGGTGGCGGGCAGCGGTGCTGGTGGAGAAGGTGTGGCAGCGGGACAGGCTGGGGGTGGTGGGGGCGGTGGCACGCCACAGAGTGCGCCCAGGCCTGCTGCCGTGCCCACCACTGCAGCAGCCAGCGCCAGTCCGTTTGAAGAGGAAGGTTTTTCAGCAAGGTGGGTCTTTTCACACAAGTTAGCCTTTCTCCCCACATCCATTCATCTCCGCTTGAAAGCTTCCTCTTCCAGTGGCAAGCAGTTGATGGTAGCCTGCCACGTCACTGTTTGGGTGCCTATACCATGCTCACCGTGCGATCTCGCCCTTTCCCTGCTTTCTCCTCCGGAACCACCCACAGCAGCGCCTACGGCCCAGGCCCAACACAGCCCTACACCTACCCGCCCTCCGATGCCCCTCCTACTGCTGCTGCTGCTGCGGCGCCTGTAGCAGCGGCGTCCGGTGGAGGGGGAGGGGGCTTTGACGACGACGACTTTGACCCGCGCTCCGCAGCACAGCAGCCAGCGCAGCAGCAGTGGCAGCCCGCACCTGCTGCAGCCGTTGGAGGTACACGCGTGCTCGCCTCGTTGGACTCACTTCCCTCCCCATCTTTGTTCTTTTCTGCATGTCCTCCCATCAATCCCCAGTTCCCTTGCTGTTCAGTCTGCTCCCTCGATCTTGCTCTGCCTGTCGCCCCACTGTTTCGTATCTCTCCGCCAACCTCACCAGGTGTTTCTTTCGTTCCTCCCACTCTCTTTTCCCCCTCATTCTCCCCTTCGCTGAGAGCCAGCTGCCTTCGGGGATTCGTCCTTCGCAGCTACGTTCTCCCAGCAGCCACCGCAGCCAGGGCACTACCAACAGCAACAACACAATTTCGAGCAGCCACCTCAGCAGTATCAGCAACCACCTCAGCAGTATCAGCAACCACCTCAGCAGTATCAGCAACCACCTCAGCAATACCAGCAGCCACCTCAGCAGTATCAGCAACCATCTCAGCAGTATCAGCAACCACCTCAGCAATATCAGCAACCACCTCAGCAATATCAGCAGCCACCGCAGCAATACCAGCAGCCACCGCAGCAATACCAGCAACCCCCTTCGCAGTACGACCAGCCGCCTCCGCAGTACCAGCAGCCGCCGCAGCAGTCGCAGCAACCAGCAGCAGCACCCGCCAGCCCCCCCGCTGCTGCTGCAGCAGCAACTGCCTCGCAGGAGGGCTTCAACGCCTTCCCACCCGATGCCCCCCCTCCCTACTCCTTCTCGTCCGAGCAACCCCCACAGCCGCAGCAGCCGCAGCAGCAGCAGCCGCAGCAGCAGCAGCAGCAGCAGCAGCAGCAGCCGCAGCAGCAGCAGCCAGCGGTGGCAGCATCTGGTTACACAGAACCCCCCCTGCCTGCTGCGCCCGCGCTAGCTGCTCCGTATGCTTTCTCTGCCTCAGACGCTGCACCCACCCCTGCCGCCGCTCCCCCCCATCCCACTGCCCATCACCCCGCTCCCCCTGCCGCCGTGCCTGCACCTGCTTCTGCTGCTGCTGCCGGCAGTGATAGCGGTTTCACAGGAGCGGCAGCGGTGGGAGGAGAGGGCAAGGGCAGTGCGAGTGGGGGGGCGGGGGCGGGAGTGAAGAAGTCGAGTGTGTTCTCTGACGTGCTCAGTGCCGGCCTCGTGGACCTCGACATCTCCAAGGGTATGCCCCCTGCACGCCACGCGTGTACCATACCATGTCTGCATACTGCGCCTGTGCACATGCAGCATGCCTGTGTGCTGTGAGTGCTTAGCTGCTGCTGGCTGTTGAAAGGCACATGGCAGCAGCAAGCCACACAAGGTGCAACTGCTCTTTGCCTTAACATGGCACTGAATGGCTCTCACTTTCTCTATCCCTCAAGAAACAGCTCTGCCCCTGCTTTGAAATGCATCCCACTCGCCCAGCATCACCCTGCTCCCACGTGCCATTCCCACTCCTGCCACCTTCCACTCTCCCTTTCTCTGCCATCCCCTCACCCACCATCTCCCTTTCACCCGTGCGCCACCCCCTGCCACCCCATTGCGTGGCGGCATCAGAGCCGGACGACCCACTGAGCTCGGTGGGCGTGATGCCCAAGTCCAAGCTGCGGTCGGCGCGCGAGCGCAAGGAAGACGCCAGCCGCCAGCAGCAGCAGCAGCACCTCGGGCTGGGGCAGGGGCAGGGGCAGGGGCAGCAGGGCGGTGTGCCTGCTGCCATGGGCCGTGCCATGGGGCCTGGTGCTGGTGCCGGTGGCATGGGTGGGGGGGGGGGAGGCATGGGGGGCATGGGGGGCATGGGAGGCATGGGAGGCATGGGTGGCATGGGTGGTGGGATGGGAATGGGAGGAGGAATGGGGGGGATGGGGGCGATGGGCGGAATGGGTGGTGGAATGGGTGCCATGGGCGGTGGTGGTGGTGCCTATGGTATGCAGGGTGGTGGGTACGGGGGAATGGGGATGGGCGGTGGAGGCATGGGAGCGATGGGAGGGGGCATGGCAGGAAACATGGGCATGGGAATGGGAGGTGGTGGATATCCAAATCAGCAAGGTGGCTATCCGACAGGTACCGGCAACTACCAGCAACCTGGTTACCAGCAAGGCAATTATGGCGCTGCAAATTATCATCAAGGTGGAGGTGGAGCTTACGGTTATTGACTACCGTATGCTGTCTCCTCACTCGCTTCAGTGACTCTTGCTGCATCCTTGAAGTATTAGTTGTGCAATTTTTAGTTGAAGGTTACTGGAGGAGTTAAGAAAAGACAATCCATTGTGCACGCTAGCAAGACGGACTCAATGTCCCTCAATGTCTCAATGTCTTTGTACTATCCCCTCTCTTGTAGATGCCAAGGTCTGAACTGAAGTAGTACCGTACAAGTGGTAGCTCGCCTTGGTTGGCAGGTCAAAATATAGAGGAGGGGTGGAGCGACGGGTGCGTGCGAAGCAAAAAAAAAAACTCAAAAGAATGCACTCCAGGTAATTCAAAGTAGCGTCATCATCGAATGTGTGTTGTCCACATAGACTACAAAGTGTCACATGTGTGCGCCGCCTTATGAAGCAGCTGGTTCATTTGATACGTTATTGACTACCATAATGTAGATCACACGCCATTGTCTCCCCCATGCCGTACTGCATACTGCCGCGTCATCATGGTCCCTTCATTGCGCTCAGAATGTGCGTCAATTGAGAAAGACAAATGTGTCAACATACACATATACATCTGCATGTGTATTCTTTAGGCTCGGTTGGATTGCACCATAGAGGGTACGGGCTTGTTGGATGTACCCTCTCTGTATGCTCTCATTCCTCACTCATTATGTTGTTGACATGGTTTCACACTAGGTTAGGTCCCTTGCTTCTGCCCATCCTACCTCCCTAGCTGCTCCTCGTGCCCTCTCGCCCTCCCCCCCTAAGTTGACCCCCTTTAGCAACCCCCCCTTAGCGGCCCCCATCACGGCCGCCGCGCCCTGCCACACCCACCGCGCGCCTGCCACGCGCCTGCCGCGCACCTGCCACCCTACTGCGCCCTGTCACGCGCCTGCTCTACCGCGCGCCTCCGCCGTGCGCACCACACCATGCCGTGCACCTGCCGCACTCTTCCGTGCCCTACCGCGCACCCTGCCGCACCCTTCTGCCTCGCCTGCCGCACGCCCGCCGTCGCAGACCTACTGCCACGTATGCCGCATGCCATGCCATCATGCCTGCCGCATGCCTTCCGCCGCGCCTGCTGCGCGCCTTCTGCTGCGCCCAGCCGCCGCGCCTGCCTGCCATGCCTGCCGCTGTGCCTGCCGACCGTGCCTGTAGTTGCATATGCTAACCGTGCCTGCCGCTACACCTGACGTCGTGCGTGCCGTCGCACCTGCTACTTTCCTGCAACTATTGCACCTCGGCAGCCACGATTTTGGTTTCTGCTCTGCCTGACTGCCTCTTACTGTCTTCTATTCCGCCTGTGGGTGCCCCTTCTCATCTGTTGTAGATGTGCCCCTGCTCGTGCATGTCTTGGCGTCCAAGATTGTACTGTGGACCGACTTTGACATATGGCTGCTCGACGTTCAACTCCACATCTAGAGCCAGCACCAGGATGACGTTTACCTATACGGCTATGTGTCAGGTGAGCTATCTGCTCCTGAGCGTCCTCCTGCCCTTAATGCAGAGCCCACTTAGAAGGGGTGGGAGGCTCACCACGTGGCCCAACTTGCGTACTTTGTTTGTGTTGCGTGACGCTACTGTGTGTCTTGCTCTTAGTCTCCTCCTGCCACTGGCTGAGCGAGTGCACTGTCGCCATGTCGCGACGACGAAAGAGTGTTTTGATGCTGTTGTTGCTCACTACTACCCCTCTTCTGCTACTCTGAAACCCCTCTTCATGCCCTTCGTCTTCCCTAATCTCCCTTCTTTCTCCACTATCGCTGACTTCACTACCCACATGCGCTCGCTTGACGCTAGCTTCCGTGCTGCTTGCAGTAGTGACCACCTTGCTATGCAAGCCCCCCTCCCCATGTATCTTACCCTATGCTTCCTAGCGACCCGCCTCCCTGACCGCCTCGTGCCTGCCCACGACGCCCTCCTCGCTATGCACCCCATGGACCTTACTATTGATCTCTTATGAGACTCGTCGCACTGACATCGAGACCCACCTGCTCACCCCATCACTGTTGCCGTAGCCCACCCGCCTCCACCACTGTTGCCGTAGCCCACCCCATCTTTGAGGGGTGCGCCCCGCCCTAGCTCCCTAGCCTAGTTGCCTATGCCGCTGCTGCTGAGCCTTTTTCTAAAGCGAAGGTTGCCGCCATCTCTGCTATTTTTGGTGGGCAGGGACGGCGCATGGGTGGTCGTGGTTGTGGAAGAGGTGGAGGTACTGGTACGTTGGGGGATGTTGACGTTGGGAGTGCTGATTCTGGGGGTTTTGTAGCAGGAGGTGAAGGAATGTGGGGTGAGAAGGTGACTCCGTAGCAGCAGCAACAGCAGCAGCAGCTCCAGAAATGGGTCTCTCAACGGTTTTGGGGACCTGCTGGCCCGGAGAGAGTTGGCCGGGGTAGCAGATCTGACAGTTGGGCGTCGCATGCCCCCCACTGGGCCATGCCAATACCATATTCACTCTGGTCCGGTGCGTGGCACCGTCTTCAGGGGCAGCGGTCGCTCCACTGCGCGCTGCTTCCGCCGACTCGACGACCTCTTCTGCGCCCATTTTGGCCCTACGGCGTTCCCCCCCCTGGACTGGCCTACGCTTTCCCCCCGTGGTTTGACTGTGTTTGATATGGACATCTCTTAAATATGATATGCTTTGTATGCGATGTATGCTAATGACTCTAGTGCTGCCGCATCATATTTTTCGTGTGTACCTAAACTAGGCTCCCATGCTGCCTGCCCATGTAGGTCCACTGCCGACGGTCCCTCTCTTTCAATATCGACTTCGGCGCGTCCCAGTGCTTCCTTCGCGGCAGCACCACCCGATCTCTGTTTCCAGCTTCTGCCGTAGTCTCCTTGGCAGAACCTTTTCATGGACCGATCGTCCGGCAGTCCCCTCTGGCTCCCCTCACATGTCTGCATATCCCCTCGCTACTAATGGGGCACTTCTCGTCAACTTTCCACTAGACCCTCAGTCAAGTCCTTTCATGCAGCAAACTTCGTCCATCCAAGTTCATGTGTCTGCTCAGGTAGCTGTGTCGTGCTCGTGTCAGTCGCTCACTCATCTGTCGCTCTTATGCCGCCACCATCTAGGTCGCACTGCCCTCCCGCGTCTCCGTTGCATGGCTCGGCACAGTCTTGTCTCTGGTCTCCTGCCGTCACTCTCTCCCTCCGTCGTCTGTGCCGCCGTGGCCCCCTTGTGTCGAAGGCAGGCCGTGCACCGCCCCTCACTCCTCCTCGTTTCCTCCCACGGCTGTGCCTTTTTAGGCATTGCACATGGACGTCTCGAGCTGCACTGCAAACGTTATTTCCTAGTTGTTGTGGATGACTACTCTCACCACTGCACGGTGTTTCCCTTGCAGAGGAAGGCCAACGTGCCTGATCTTCTCCTCACGTGGCTAATAGAGGTCCGCACCCATCGTGCCCAACCTCTGATTTGTCTTCACTCCAACCAAGGTGACAAGTTTGCCTTCGGGTGCATTGGTCAGTTCTGTCGTGCGGAGGGCATCACCCATACGTAATCGCTCCCGGACTCGCCACAACATAATGGGGTAGAGATCGCTCGTACCTCTATGATTCATGCCAGTGGCCCCCCATTTTTTGAGATCGTCTGTTGTCCGCTACGTTGTGCACCAACTTAACATGTGGCCCCATGTCTCATGGCCGTAGGTTCGTTGACCCTTCTCTTGACTGGGTCCCCTGGTGATGCCTTTGCGTTTTGTGAAAGGGGTTGCTTTTCTCATGCCCACGACCCTCGCGCGGATAAGCTCTCAGCCCGCACTCTCCTATGTGTCTTCCTTGGTATCCCTCTCGATGCCCTAAATGGCCATTCTACCGCCCTCTGTTTCACTGTTTCCTCCGCTCTCGTGACATTACCTTTGACGGGTCTATCTGTTTCTACACTTGCTTCATCACCGAGGTCACTCGGTTCCCCCCTTTCCCTCTTACGTACTCCTACTCACACCCCTGTCCCCACTCCTCCAGTCGCTCCCTTGCCCCTTCCCCGCCGGGTGTGTCACATGTCATCCCCTTCCCTCGGTTGGACCTGTGGGAGAATCTGCTGACTCTGGAGGCCTCGTAAGTGGGGGTGCACATCTTGTTTCGGCACCTTCACTGCCTCCCCCCCATCCCTTGCCCCCTCCCGCTGCCATTGTCATGGTCTCTGCCGTCACCATTGTTGTCATCGCAGACGCTGCAACAGCCTTCCTTGCAATACCAGCTCGTCGCCGCCGCTCAGTAATCGTCGATGCCGTAGTCAGTCAATGTGGACTATGGGTGTGTTGCGGCTAGGCGTGCAGATTCTGGGGGTGCTGTCGCTATGGGTGCTGGCTCTGGGGTTGCTGGTTCTGGGGGTGCTGACGCTGTGATCAGAGGTTCTGGGGGTGCTTCCGCTGTGGGTGCTGGCTCTGGGGGTGCTAGTTCTGGGGGTGCTGCCGCAATAGGTGCTAGTACAGGGGTTTCCGTGAGCACAGGACGTTTGTTACCGCAGTAGCCGCAGCCGTTACCGCCGCAGCAACCGCAGCAGCTGTCGTCACTGCCAGTGTATGCATTTCACCTTCTTGGTCTTTCTCATCCCTTGCTTTCTCCCCGCGCACCCTCTCTCCCCAGTGTATGGTCGCACGTTTCCTCTTCCAGACTCGTCTTCTACTCCTCTTCCTCCGCGTTCACAGCTGTCTCCTCCTCTATCTCTTGACCCGACTCCTCTCTCCCACCATCGGGCCCGTCTCCTCTCGTGCTTGACCCGTGTCTCCCCTTCGTGGTTTCCATTCTATGCTCCTCCATTCTCGCGTCCCTCGAGTTCCGTCACCCTCTGTTTTCCAATCACCTCCTTCGTCATCCCTTCTCCTCTCCTCTATTCTATGACTGTCTTCGTGCCGCTCGCCCTGTGGTCCCCCATGTATTTTTCTTCCTCAATACCGCCCCTAGTGCTCCTACAATGTTTGTTGCTGCTCATGTTGTTGATGTCACTGATTTTGCCTTGAATACGCCACCTAGTTGGTCTCTGCTCCTGTTCGTCCTCGGTTTGCTGGGGGTGCTTCTACAGTTAACACTAACGTCCTAGAGGGCAGGAAGTTCAAACTGGTTTTCCATGCCGCTGCTGCTCCTCACCGCTGCTAGCCCTTAAGAGTTACTCATACTCTCTTGACATCATGACTCCCCGCATATAAGATGAGGCAGTTTCTGGACGTTGGGCCTCATGGACGTAAGGATGGCATCTGGAGGTCCACAGGCACTTACGTCGATGAAGTTCTTTCTCCTAGGGCGAACGTAGTCGATGGCATGTGGATTTTCAAGGTGAATAAGCCATCTGGAGCGCCGCCTGTCTTCAAGGCATGCTACGTGGTGAGAGGCTTAGTCAATGAGTAGGGGTAGGTTTCTTCCATACCTTCTCCCCCACCCGGAAGATGACCCTGTCGTGATATATATTTCCATATATCTTATGTAACTGCATGTAGTTTAGCTTTAGTGTAGTTATGCAACTTTCTGTTGGTGGGGCAACTGTTATGCTTTGTTTCCTTCCCTATCGCTCCTATATTTGTACTTGTTTTCTCTAAGTCAATCCTCATTGGCATGCTTAATCCTCTCCATACTCAAGCTAGCACCCAAACCCTAGCCATGGTTTCTAAGCATATTTCGACATGCTATCAAAGCGGTTATGTTTCTTGGCCGTTTCGTATTCGCAATGGGCCCACCGCTGGCCTTTGCCATGGCGCGCCCCGTCAAATAGCCTTGCGCACAGCGCAAAATGCGCCTCGCTCGTCGCCCCGTCATGCGCCCCGCTGGTCCTATTCGTCGCCCCATCGCGCGCTCCGCTGGCCCTGTTTATCGCCCCGTCGCGGCCTTAATCGCGATGCTCGTCGCGTCCCCTGGCGCGCACTCTCTTCGCCCGCCCCTGCTGCTCGTCTTGCCCCCTCTCGTCGCGGTCGTACATGCCTACAATGACGGTTGCTGTTTGAGGGGGGGAGGGAGGAAAATGGAAGGGAGTGGCGGCCGTGGGGAGGAGGCAGGAGTGCAGGTGAAGGTGGCGGGCTGTGGGGGGAAGGGTAAGCGAATGGCGGGAGTGACTTTTTCCGCGCCAACAGTCACCCCTTCTCCTCTCTCTCTCACTTCCGCGCGTGCAGCTGCGGGGGGGAGGGTGAGAGAGGGTGGCGGAAGTCAGCCGGGCATCTGCAGCAGCCGCCCGCTGCTATTGTGGCACCTCCTGCTGCCGCCCCTGCGGCCACCTGCACCTTCTGCTGCCGCCTGCTGCTTGGGCCTGCATGTGCTGTCGTCGAGCCGCTGCTGTCATGCTGCTCGTTACAGCCACAGAGCTAGCTCCTCAGCCGACCTGCCGCCACGTGGACCCGTCGCTGCTGATTTTGTCGTGAGTGTGCGTTTGCCACAGCTGCATCTGCCACTATTGCTCTTGCTGCCACTGCATATGCTTGCCATGCTTCTTCCGCTGTGATACTTTGCCCTGGTGTACCCATTCAGAGGGCGTTGCTACACATAGTTGTCACTGCAGGCAGGTATGGGGGCGTGTCGTGATATATATATACACACACACACATTTATATTTATACATTTCTATATTTCTATATATCTTATGTAACTGCCTGTAGTTTAGCTTTAGTGTAGTTTTGCAATTTTCTGTTGGTGGTGCACCAGTTATGCTTTGTTTCCTTCCCTATCGCTCCTATATCTTGTACTTGTTTTCTCTAAGTCAATCCTCTTTGGCATGCTTAATCATCTCTATTCTCATGCTAGCACCCAATAGTTGTACTCCCCATTCCATAGGGAAATCATCCCTACTTGGCACAACTCTCTCTTCTAACTCCTTGTCCTAGGCTACTAAGCCCAGGCTCTACTAAAACCCCCAAGTATGCTACTATTTTTAGCATATTTACCCCTTCGATTTTCCCTCATGAGTTCAATCATTAAGTTTTCGAAAAGGAAGCCCTGTTAAGAATGATTTCAATACAAAACTTATTGAATGAAATCTCATACTGCTTCATTCACGATTTGGACTCTCCTCAGGCTTCATCATTTTCCTCAACACCGAGGATGTCAGAAACTAACGAGCAGGAATGTGTGCATTGATCAGAAATGTGGTACAAGTACTAATCCTAATTGGGTTGTACCCCATATAGGCTACCCCACTACAGCCTACACAACATAATCAGCCTTATAGTTTGACACACCCCCATAGGCAAGTGGGGAAGAACAAGGGGTCACAAGACCAGTCCAGAAACGCAAAGCAAGCTCAGGGTGGATCATAAAATCACCACACACTCTGAGCACAAGCAAGTGGCCACAAGGCTAGTTCACATGCAGAGTTATATATA